GGCTCCCATGGGGGAGCATAATAGTGGAAGTGGTTGAACAATTAACAACAGATCCTACGTCCCCTGCTTATCCTGTCCCCGCCTTACCCATCTTTAATTGGATCATAGCAGTTGGCTTATATTAACTTATTTATGTTTTTAGTGGGTGTGTGTTTATGTTTGTGTGTGTATGTGTACTTACAGTCTTCTATGACTGTAAGCCGCCCAGTGTTACCTTGCGGTAAGATGGGCGGCTAATAAATTTGATAAACAAATAGTGTAAAATAATACCAACATATAATTGTTCATTATTTTAATTTTCGTCCTTCTCGCCATTTTTAAAATTTTCCAACACAGTTTCATTCCTCCATTTGCTATGAAATGCCCAACTCAAAGTCAAAGTCCTTGGACCAAAAAAAAAAGTTGTGTGCTCCGACCTAAAACAAAGCAGGAGAACCGGAACACATCAAGGGACAGAACAATACTGGCCAATTCCAACATCTGGAGAAAAGATTAATTTGAATCAGATTTGAGGCCTATACAATTCGCGGCTCTGCCCTCACTATGAGAAAAGAACTTGCGGGCCAAATAGGCAACCTTTCCTACTGTTGCTGAACAGATGTTGTTTTCTTCCTCTAGCATACCAATCAAAAGAACAACTGTCTTCTGTCAAGCACTCAGAAGAAAGGAGAGACACCCTTGCTAACTGAGGAAATGAACTTTTGCTCTAATAAACAAAAGAAAGGTTAATAATGAAAGTTGTTGGAGAAAAGCTGCTTTTCTTCTAGCTGGCAAAGAACTGAAAGAAAGACTTCACCCTGCCAACAAAAGTGCGTATAGTCCAGGCCATGGTTTTCCCAGTTGCAATGTATGGCTGTGAAAGTTGGACCATAAGAAAGGCTGAGTGCAAAAGAATTGAGGCCTTTGAACTATGGTGATGGAGAAGACTCCTGCGAGTCCCCTGGACTGCAAGGCGTTCAAACCGGTCAGTCCTAGAAGAGATCAACCCCGACTGCTCTTTAGAAGGCCAGATCCTGAAGTTGAAACTCAAATACTTTGGCCACATAATGAGAAGGAAGGACTCACTGGAGAAGGGCCTAATGCTGGGAAAGATTGAGGGCAATAGAAGAAGGGGACGACAGAGAATGAGATGGCTGGATGGAGTCACTGAAGCAGTAGGTGTGAACTTAAATGGACTCCAGAAGATGGTGGAGGACAGGAAGACCTGGAGGAATGTTGTCTATGGGGTCCAATGGGTCGGACACGACTTCGCAATTAACAACAACAACAACAACAGGCCACAAATTAGGTGAAGGACTTACTCCTCTCTCCCTGCAGTACAAATTCAATTTCATCTGGTCCAAACAAAACAATAACAAAACAGAGCAGCAAACCAATTTCGGACTGGCAAATTTCAACCCTTCTAGGTCTGATCGAACGATCTCTTTCTCTAAGTCATAGCTACAAAGCACGTGTGAAAAAAAACTGATGTGGCTGAAGAAACAACTCTATTTTCTGCCCCAAACCTTTTGCATTATATTATGTATCCAAAGCCAGAGAAAACATTTTTAAAGATTGGGCCATCAAAGCAGAATATTTCTACTCCTAGCTATATAGTTAACATTACTTTCAGCTTTTATTCCATATGTATCTGTTTTGCCAACGATCATCTCTGTTACATTAAGACAAGTGAACAAACTTGTCTTAAACTTGAAAAAAAGCTGTAGGCTGATAAAACATGAAATAAAGTCTACTTCCTTTCTCACTATTTTATTTCTGTGTTCCAAGAAAGGCTGGTGGGAGGAGGGGGAAAGAAAGGGGGAGGGTTAGGCTGGGAAATTATCCAAAATTTGGCTTTTGAGCATGCATGCTAAAAGATGTAGCAATAAAGCTCTGATTTATGCGCATGTTTCCATGTAAAACCATCACCACAAATTTGCATAAGTTCAAATTGCCTCAGACCACAAGAAAGTGCAAACCTCTAGCTATATGTATTAGATTCCAATGGCTATTTTTCCCTGCAACATATCTAAAGGTTGGAAAGTACTGAGAGAGGTAATCTCAAGGGTTTTAAGTGGGTTTGGCTGCTTTTACAATATATGATGGTAAGGCAGCTTGCTTAAACTGATAGAAAAAGTAAAGAAGGCCATTGGAGTCATACTGCATTATAATCTCTGAACTATACAATTGGAGAGAAAATATTTATGTCATTACTTTCTCCCCAAAGCATCCAAAACAGCTCATGAAATGTAAGAAAATTAAACTGGATTCACAAAATTGCACTTTGATGATTTGTTAATCTGGTGTTTACTAATTAAGCCGCAATTGATTGGATTCACATTAGTAATTAGGAATAATCAGCAAACAACAATTTGTAGTAGAGTGATTCAGGTAGCGGACTTAAATGGAGGAGGTGATGTTCAAGTTTATTTTTAATCATGGAAGCTCATGAAAGCCTTTCAGTCAGTGAAAAACCTGAAGGAGTCTGGGAACACCTTTTCCAGTTTTATTAAAATCACAAAAGTCTATGCTTTTAAATAAATAAATAAATATCAGTATAAAGATTGCTTGAAAGTGGGAGATACTTCCAATGTAATCTACCGGATCCCCTGCATGGATTGCCCTTGTGATTATATAGGACAGAGGGAAGGAAGCTAATCACCAGATTGCAAGAACATAAGCCAACGGTCAGACAAGGGAAACCCAAACTCATTGGTAGCCTCAGACTGCAATGAACAAAGACATACATTCAATTTTGCAGCTACTAAGTTTGTTGGACGAGCAGGCACAAAAACAGCCAGGGAAGTGATTGAAGCCTGGGAAACAGGCCCCTAGTCAGTCAACAGGAGTGCTGATTTACCACTAGCCTATCAAGTATTTAGAAGGCGAGGGCTGGGCAGCACAAGTAAATGACAGCTAACAACTTAAAAGCCAGGCATCAACACACCCCAATCAACATCTAAAAAGCCACTTGCAACAGGTACCATAAATACCACACACTCTGCTGGAGAGAAATCCCCTGAAGATGGGCTACAACACAAGTCCCAAAGCTCAGAAGACTAAATCTCTGGTCCCAGTGACGGACCCAGATTGGACATTATCCTGGGACACGTATATTCGCCTTCATTTGTGAAATAATAAAATAAAATAAAATAACTCTGAATTTTGGCTACTTTAGACTAACATGGCTTTCTTTCTACAACATTCCCAATGAGAAGCACCAAGTTTTTATACATTACCTTTTACTCCAACTCACCCCCATGATAAAACGAATGAAAACTACTTTAAGTTTCTGGAAGAAATGCCAGGCTATACACCTAAGAAATCTAACTCAAAACTGAATGTTCCTAAAAACTAGATAATTTAATCATTTGTCTCTGACGCTACATAAAACCATACTTAATGGTAGCATTTAAAATCAATGTGGAAAAAAGTTAGCAAGTCTGTTCAAGTATAGGTACAACAAATCCAAATTAGAGCAAATCAGATTTCTGACAAATTAGATGTATGAATGAAATGCCACTGAGGATTTAAACCATCTGCTCCACTCGAAAGCTGAACTTCCCTGTTCTCAGTTTGAAAAGAAGACATCACTAAAATTTCAACGCAAGTTTATTAATGTCGTTCAAATTGATCCTGAACTGAAAGGACAAATATTATAGGGCATTCTTGTAAGGCAAATATTTAATCTGTAGTAATTCCAAATTCACTGGGATTCCAGAAGAGGACATCTGTATCTAAGCAAATCTACCTCTACCTTTTTATCATGCCTGTTCTTATATCTTCAAAAGCTATCAATTTAAGTGATCCTTGAGTGCAGCATAACTGTAAAGTGCAGAACATTGAGTGATATATTTTTGATAGGTGGGTCAATAAGGCATTTATTGCCAAAATTAAATTCAGTTCCCAAACACTGAAGCAAGTGTGGCATGGCTAAAATTCCTTGGCATTTTGTCAAAGCATTGTGTATACGTGCACACACTTGGCAAGTAGGTGTTTACAGAACAAAACCTATTGTAGATGGGGTCATTTCTAAGAAATATTCATTATTTGTCTGGTGATTTAAGAAAAAAAGTGTCCAAGAATGTATAGTGTCCAAGAATGTATTTACTCTGAAGCAATCCACAAAAGACAAGTGGGAACTAGTGGAATCACAAAACATGTGATCCTAGAGTTGGAAGAAGGCAGTTAGACCATTTAATCCAAATTACTACTCAGTGCAGGAAGCCAAATTAAAACATCCATGGCAGGTGGCTGTTTGGCTTTCCCCTGAGGACAAACAACGAAGGGAAGAGCATAATTTCCCCAAATGTTCGTTTATACTGTTGAACTGCTCTGACCTTTAGGGTTGTTGTTTGTTTTTTTTTTCTGCATCTGGGAATGATGGAGTACATGTCTTGACTTTTAAGTCATATTCTGTCAGCCTTGTGAGACAGTCCAGACAAGAACGACCTTGGGCACCAAGAAAGCACTAGCTCTATCTTTAATGTAAATTCATATTAACAGAAGCCTCCAAGAATGAAAGTACCTATATCCCCTCTAAACTGTACAATTCAAAAAATTAGGGAGAGTCTCTTCTGAGATGTTTGTGATGCCCCCATTCCTTCTGCAGGCTTAGCTGTCTCTTAATTGATCTCTGCCTATCTGCAGCTCTTTGTCCTGTCTCCCAAGGCCATTCTCACATACCATTACATTTTCTTTCAGGCATTTGAAGACCGCTATTATATCCTCTCCCAGAGCTCCCTTTAAAAAGCTAAAGTTGCTCAGCTCCTTCAATTTTTCTTCCCAAGAGTTACCTTCTAGTCTTCTTCTCATTGCTCTTCTCTAACTCTGTTCCAATATGCCCAAATGCTTCTAAAAATATTTACAATTGTTTTTATATTTCTATTTTATTACATTGTAAGCCACCCAGAGTCACTTTTGATAGTGAGATGGGTGGCATTTAAATTTAATAAATAATGCAGATTAAAAGGAAAATAAAAAGCAGGCAACAAAAAATTAATAAACTTATTTTTCTGTACCTTTGTTCTTGGTTTTGGCTTGGGCTTTTCTGCCTCAAGGCTCTTCAGCAAGATTGGCGGAGATGTCTTGCAACTAGCCTCCTATCAGGAAACATCAAAAGGAATTAATAAAAATATGTCTGGAGATACATCCTGAAACAAGAACAGACTGTCGCTTCGCTTGACAGGCATTTGAGTTTAAAATAGAGAGATGCATTGAAATGTTCTCTTCCACTTGTGTGAAATGATTTTTTTTAAATCACAACTATATTGACTAAAAAGAAACACCTCAAAATGAAACTCCTGCATCCCGCATTCCTGATCTATTTCATCCAAAGCTGCAAATGGAAATCCAAGCTTAGCAGTAGGCTAGTATTTATATTAACTGAATTCAAGCAGATAGGACTGCCGTATCGCCAACATATTAAGCAGACCCTAATGTTGCGATTTGTTTTAAGATTTGGTAGGGTATACTGGGCTTGCGAGAAAGAGGCTGGGATTATGTTTGTAAAACATTATGTTGCAAATATTATGATGGGTTAAGAAAGAAAAACTACAGCACCATCATGAGAGAAATAATTTATAATGCTGAGTATCAGAAGGGCTTAAAGACCAAAACACAGAAACTGTGCGGAATCATTGCTGCATCTTCAGTACATAAAAGCTCAGATCATTATCCATCTGTGTGACATCATAACTTAGCTGCAGTTTGACAGTGCTCTCCTCAAAGTTATTGATAAGACAAAAAATGTTTATATGATTTGTTAAGATATTCAGATGCTGTAACATATAGCAATAGCACATAGACCTATATACCACCCTATATGCTTTATAGCACTTTCTGGATGGTTTACAATGTCAGCATATTGCCCCCAACAATCTAGATCCTCACTGTACTGAACTTGAAAGGATGGAAGGCTGATTCAATCTTGAGCCCCAACAAGATCGAACTCCATGCGGTGGGCAGAGTTTGCTTGCAATACTGCAGTCTAACCACTGCACCACCAGGACTCCTCTGATGCAGTGGTTAGAACATATAGCCTTACTTATAAAACTTTAAAGCTACCTATAAAGATAAGAATCATGCAGGAAATGGTTTTCCTGTAATAACTCTATGAAAGTAAAAATTGAATTCTGAGTTCTGAAGCAAGAGAAAAAAAATCAGTGGCTTTAACCTTCAGTTTTAAAGAATACCCGGAAATATTATCAATAGTCAAGAAAATAAAGGAAAATTAACCCAGAGTTCTCACCCAAGGCACAAATAACCGTGCTCAAATGGTCATATTTTGGACTTATTATGTGAAGACTCAACTCCCTCGAGAAATCAGTAATGTTGAGAAAAGCAGAAGGAAAGGGAGGATGACCAATAGCAAGATGGATGGATTATGGCAGCAATGGCTGTACCATTAGAAAACATGAAGGGCCAGGCTGGGGAAAAGATCATCTTGGAGAAGGATTTATTTTATGAAGTCACCATGACCTTTTTGTCTGTTTGTTTGCATTCAGGCTGCTTATTATTTTTTTTAAAATAGTTTTCACTGATTTTTAATTGTAAGACACCCACAATCGTTGGGAGTTGGGCAGCCTATACATTGTATAAACAAACAAATCTGATGGCTCATAATTCATAGAAAATAATAGGGGGAAGTTATCTAGAGCGGCAGTATCATTAGAAAGATATGTCAAATTGAATGAAATAAAATAAATGAAATAAAATAAAATAATGTCACTCTCCTTGGCATCTGTACAGGATGCTAAAGGAAAGACCACAGAAGCTCATAAACTTTCACCTAGAAGGGAGTGTATTTTAACCTCACTAGGGAAGAATATCCCAATGATTTTTTTTCTTGTTCTATTTTTTTTTTAGAAAAAATATCCATCTGCTCAACGAAATACTAAAAATGATCTGCAAGAATTAAATGTTCTCTTGAAAAGAAATAATCAAAATTTTGTTCATAATGCTAAACATGCCCAGCTCTACTATGTACCTGTTAGGTTTAGTCTGTTCCACTAATGGCAGAGGAGAACCAACAGTGCAGTAGCAATGATAGTCAACTCATATCAAAGGCAGGTTTGTTTATAACCCTAAGCCATGTTAAAACTGGTTATGTTTGATCTTAACACTGCCCTGAAACTCAATTATTGTGGCTTAGTATTATATATGAACCAGTCTGTTTCAGTAATTTTAGATGAAAAATTTAATTTAGCCTTATGGGTGAATGCATTCAAGTGATTAGATGGTATTTCTGGCATCAACTCAAAAAATGACCTGGAAGTTTTCTTAATTAAATTAACATCTGGAATACATTACATCTGACAGGAAAGGAATTATTACCAGACAATGACCAATTGCCTTATGATAAACGCTTTCACCAGCAACAGGAAGGGGGGGGACATATTAAAGAGAAAAAAAATTGGCACAATGCTATGGAAAATGTAATATGCACTAAGCCAGGTTCGTTTGCTCTTTTCTCTAATCCAGCGGTTCTCAACCTATGGGTCGCGACCCCATTTGGGGTCGATCAACCATTTTACGGGGGTCGCGAAACAACACGATCCGCCATTTCCCCCCAGGGGTCGCCGCCGCGTATGCGCGCCGCGCATGGGGGCGCGTCTGTGTGACGGGGGTCGCCGTCACACGAAGATTGAGAACCGCTGCTCTAATCCAACCAATTCAAACAAAATGTGAGCAACTGTTCCTTATTACCCAATCTGTTTGTATGCCTCTGTTATAGTTAAATCATCACCATAACCCTTACCACAAAGTACTTTGCCAAACTTCTCTGGAGACTTAACTAAAATCTTTCTCACACTTCTTAATTAAAATATAAGCTCATTACAGGTTAATGCACATAAAAAGGGCATTAGAACAGGGGTCCCCAAGCCCTGGTCCATGGACCAGTACTGGGCTGCGGCATGCCAGCAACTGGTCTGCACAAACAAGCAAAGCCCTATCCGCGGGATGTAGGCAGCACACAAAACCACGCACCCTCCAGTCCGTGGAAAAACCTCTCTCCACGGAACCAGTCCCTGGTGCCCAAAAGGTTGGGGACCTCTGCATTAGAAGATACCATTTCAAATTATTAATGTGCTTCTGTTTCAAGACTATGATTGCCTGACAAGTCTATCTCAACTATGCATAAATAAGACTCTGTGCTGTCCATTTGAAAAGGTATTTCAGTGTAAGTTCTCCTTTTATAGTTTCCTAGTCTAATATTTACTTATTAGTTAATGTGTTACGTTGGACATACATCCATGAGCAGAGAATCTGAAATAACACCACCTTCTCTCCCAGAGTGATTATATTCCTGTATGTCAAACCTTTTTATCAATGTGTATATTCCACATATATTCTACAGCTGGATTACAAAAATAAAGTATAATACTTCAAAAAACTGGAATATCTGTGCAGTGTTTTATTTCATGGCTTTCCTGTAACCTTCCAAAGTTGTGCTAATTTAAGAATCAAGTAAAAATGTACAACTTTAACACAGTTCTTTTTATGGTCTTTCTTGAGTTTTGTGGCTATAGTGTCACCAGTCAAAGATTAGACGATCTTACCAAGAAAGTAAGCAAATAAAAGATTCATTCTCCCTGATCAAACATTCTCTTCCCAAATATATTCCTCCCTCTCTCTCTCACCAGGCTTTTATTTCTCCATCAATTTATAATCAGCAACAAGAACTATAAAAGCTTAAAGAGAGGCAAACTTTCAACTCCCATGAATGTATGTGCATTTGTCTCTTGGTTTACAAAATAGTCTCCAAGATAGTTTGTTGTATGACTCATAGCAAAAAGCCAATTATTTTACATCATTATCACAAATGCTAAAAAGCCCAAAACAACTCTAGTTACATGGCTGCTGGCTTTCGTTTGGACATAACACCAGTCAAGGACATATCTTATTTTCCAAGGCTGCTTCCTATTCAACCTAAACAATGGTCAGAGTCTCAGATTAACTAGCACTCATAAAGATAAAAGACACTGTTTTGTATACAAGTGAACAGCACAAATGTTAACCGGTAAATAATGATCACAACAACTTTACTTGAAACAGCTTACATCTTGCGATGATATGTTTAACATCATCAAACAATATCTGCTTATCCCAAGTCCTTAGGAAGGACTCCATAGGAAGATAAAAATACCAAATCCAGTCTAAATATCTGGCTGGCTGTGCGATGAACCATAATAAATTGCATCAATGTTTACACATACTTTATTTTTTGATAATCCGGCGTCACTAGTCTGTTTTAAACTTGCATTTAGGGTATAGACCTAATAACGAATGGGATAGGAGAAGAGAAAGGAGAAAAGCAAAATGATTTTGGAGTATAAGAGCAAACCCAGGGATGAATTGCATAGATTTGTTCGGGGAAAATACAAGTGTTGGCTTTTGATGGATGACTGTTGAGTCATCTGTTCCTATTAGTGTTTAAGTAGACTGGAGAATTTAATATTATTGGGAAATCTGCCCATATGGAAACGTTTCAGGAAATCAAGCTCTGCTAGAGATCCAAGTGTAAATGATTGGATAGCAAAGGCCTAAACAGTTATAGTCTTTGGTGTTCTCTGAGCTTGCTTGTTTTCTTGCAGACGTTTCATTACCCAAACTAGGTAACATCATCAGTGCCAGGGCTAGTTTGAGTAATGAAATGTCTGCAAGAAAACAAGCAAGTTCAGAGAGCACCAAGGACCCTCATGTCAACCCTGAGCTATAAATATTCTTCTTTATCAGTTATAGTCTTCTGGTATTGGATTCCATTCTTAAAAGGTCTGGGGCTGGACTGCCAAAGAGATCATTAGGTGCAGAATTTAATGATGAGCTAAAGAAAATGGGCTGAAGAACTCAGAGAGCAGAGGGGAAATTAACAAGAACCCCACTGGCAGAGGCAGAGAAGAAAGCTATCTGGCTGTAGCTCTGGTGTTTTCCTCTTGGCTTTCAGGCTCTCATTAGAATCAAAACCAAACAATTCAGCAACTTGATTTCAGCTATAATATGGCATTCTATTACTTCTTTGAGGATACCCTTATTAAGCTTTTATCCTTTTTCTTTTGCAATACAGTGATACCTTGGTATTCAGCGGCTTTGAAACTCAGTGAATTTGCTACTCAATGCATTTTAACACAAAAATTTTGTCCTGGTACTCATGGTTTGTTTGGCACTCAATGCACAAGCTAGAACTTGTCGGTGTTGGCTGCCTTGTGACTCACTACATTATTCCTTATGGGGAAAAAATGTTTGGTACTCATTGTTTTTGGTACTCATTGTGCTTCCTGAAATCAGTTAACAATGAGTCCTGTATTTCCTGCTCGGAATTTTAGCCCAGATCAATGAAACCAGTCCTTTGCGCTGTTTTTCTCCCATTCCTTTGGTTTTTGCTTCCCGGAGCTGTATTCTGTATTCTGATTTATTAAACAAGCTCCTGGATGCAGATATACATACTCATACATGGGTGAACACACACAATAAAAAAACAACAGAAAAGTGAGTAACGTACAGTTTTGATCAATGAAAAGGTATAAAAAATTAAAAGTCCCCAAGCCTGAATCTCTTCATTCTGACCATGTTACTCTGACACTTATTATACTGACCTTGTTTATAGAAAGTCATGGTTTATAGAAAGAATGGTTCAAACACTCACTTTCACCAATATAATTTTTGGTGACTCCTTGCATCCTCCTTCCTTCTTCTGATGCTCCCATTCAAACAAGGGACTGTAGTTTTCCAGCATGTAGACCATGATTTTGTTACAGATTTCCTGCTGCTTCATCCCTTCAAAGCCAGGTGGAACACTGCAAGACAAAATGAAGCAGTCAATATATAAAGCAAGTTGACAGCATCAAGCACTGTGTTTTCTTTTGTAATGGCCTGAAATGAGGCAAATCAATGCCAGTCAAAGGGGGGAATCACAAAATAAGAGGGATGGGTCTGAACCATATTTGTTCTTGGACAGATTTAAGTGGTTTACAGAGTCAGCATATTGCTCCCAACAATCTGGTTCTCATTTTACCGACCTCGGAAGGATGGAAGGCTGATTCAATCTTGAGACCCAACAGGATCGAACTCCAGGCTATGGGCAGAATTTCCCTGCAATGCTGCATACCAACCACTGCGCCACCAGGGCAGTAAAACTATGTAACTATATAACTAGGATGCCTGCTAGGATGGTCCCCTAAAAAGTTATGGAAGATGAGTTCCAGAGGACTTCGGAGCAGAATCAAATGCATGCAAGTGGAGGTGCATTTTGATAGCTGGAGAACATGCGTACTATTTGGAGAAGGTTGAAGGTATAATAGCAAAATAACAATGCAAAGTACGATGGCCTTGCTAAATCAAAAAAGCAGAAGATCATGACAAGGATTTTCAGCTACTGTTGCCAGGGTAGAAAAAAGATATGTGGGAGTCACATCATGAAGGCTACTTCAAGTGAAGATAAGAGCCTCCCGTGATTGCTCATGATGATAGGAATCAGAGACCAAAAGCTAGTAGAATCTATTGTTGCAATAAAATTTCTTCCCCTCTGTCATTGAACAGCATGCCACCTGGCCATACTGCAAGCTGATTCTAAAACATCTGTCACTTGCAAAAGTAATTACTAAAAATGCCCTTTTAGAGTCAGGCAACCAGTTCCAAGGTTCTTTGGGTACCAGCCCACCTGTTCAAATGTATTTTAGCATGAAATAGAGTCTTTTGAATAATCCTCTTTGGGAAACTTAAGAGGCTTCAAGCTCTTTCCCACATATATTCTCTTCAGCTTATTATGAACAAAACTAGCTTGAAATCTTTCTCACTTGACTTGACCTACACCCTGATAAAAACCTTGCTCATAATATCAATCTCCTTAATTAGTTCTGGGTCAGTTTCATAATTTACACTGAATTTCAGTAGAAGAACTGAATAGCAATTTAAGTGGCAAATATTACCTGCCTTGTAAAAGTTATTTAATGTTAGAAGAGGGAAAAGAATTGAAACAGAGAAGGATGGTTATGTATGCATAGCTGCTCAAAAGGAAGACATGATTTGTCCACTCCAAAAAGAGCTCAGAAACAGATGATAGTTTGCTTTCATGGACTTACTGCCAGTAAATTCTAAGACAATCCTTCCATTAAAATAAAATAATAAAATAGTATGGAGAAGAAAACATACTTTTTCACTTTTGCATTCCTGCAGTAGTTTTACACAATTTATTTTCAAAACCAACAATTTACACTTATTTTGGCTGAAGGCCAACCAAGGCAACTAATACTATGTCATTTTTTTTTTTAAAAAAAAGAGGCACCGTAACAAATCAAAGCAATTCAGTGAAACAAGGAAAAGCAAAATTAATAAAAGAATGAGAGTCAGTTTGATTCTGGTGTTTTGCTAACACTATCAAATACAGAAAATGATAGAGCCAAAATAGATTCATCATCAGCTCAGCATCCCTGCCACCGAAAGCCTTGCGATATCTTTGTTTGCTGGGGCTGCAATTAAATTGTCCCTGCTGCTGGTGGAAATTTGGCCGAAAAACCTCTGAGGTTGCCTATTCTTTGTACCTTTCTCTTGGACATTTTATAGCCTATTAAGAGAAATCTTTTTAATTCTGCTTCCCGCTATTAATAAGTAAATAGAGACTGCTATTCTAAATACACAAATCCAATTTAAATCAAGTGGTTATACTATTGAGTAAATAGATTTTGGCTGTTTAAACCTGCTTTAAACAAAAAACTGTGTTGCAAGCTTTCCCCCCACCCCTTTAATCTCTCATATTATTAACGCTGTGAGTGGTCCATTTTCTTTTTTTCCTGAAAACTCTTGCACAATGGGTGGTGTCCTCTTTGGCTCAGGAAACATTTTCTTCATCACACGCAAGAATTTTGATTGGGAAAGACACCCTTTGCAACACTGCATCCAAGGGAGAAAGAAGATTTGATAAGAAAATGGTGTCACACTTTGCCAGCCAGGCTTTAGTTAAACCATTTCCAATTACTCAGGAGCAAATTGCTATACTTTACTGGCACTGCCCTTATCTGTTTATTTTTAGCTCAATGCCTCACATAACTTTCCAAGAAATGATAGGCAGGAACTTCTGAAGGCTCTGATTCTTGGCTATATTTTGAAGCGGGAGAAGATATGTTCTTCCGTCCTATCAAATAACACTAGAATTGCGCCGATGCTCTTTTGACAGTAGTAAGTTGATCAATTTTACACTGTGCCTTTAAATTGGACAGGAACCCCAGATTTGGCAATTACTACATTCATATCAAAGTGCAACCTGGTGACCAACAGATACCGGTATAGTAATCCTCATCTTATACCAACATAGGGACTGGAAAATTCATCATTAAGCGATGCAATCATTAAATGAGGTATCACATGACCAGAACATGATTTTACAACCTTTTTTGCCACAGCCGTTAAGCGAACCATACATAGTTGTAAAGTAAAACTTCATGTGACCCACAAACTTGTGACTTCCTTCCGGCTTCCCCATTGATTTTGTTTGTTGGAAGCTGGCTGGGAAGCTTGCAAATGGTGATCACGTGACGTTGGGACACAGCAACTGTTGAAAATCCAGTCTGGTCACTGAGTATTCAGATCATAAGCATGTGGCCATGGGGATGCTGCAATGTTTATAAGTGGGAGGACTTATAAATAACTTTTTTCAGTGTCATTCTAATTTTTAACAGTCACTAAATGAATGGTCATTAAGCAAGGAGACCTATATGTTATTACACAGAACAGACAAAAACCTGGGAAATTTAAGAGTATATTCAAAGGGATGAAAGATAAGATTTGTAAAACAAATAAACACTCCCATTTTTTTCTTTGCAATTCCATTAAATCAAAATCTCAAGATTTGCCGTGTCTAAGGCATGACAGGGCCTGATTTCTTTGTAGAAATCTGGATGCATTGAAATCATTGCTCATTTTTCTTCCCACCCCACAAATCTGGGATAATGCTAAAATGATTATGTCCTGTTTCCTCAAAATTCCCCACTAATTATGCTTTTTAAAGAACTCATTTTTCAGTAAAGCAAAGCTGATGAAATCAGGGAATAGGACTCGGAAGGTTGAGAACTTGAGAAATACTGGAAAAAGGGGGAAAAAGAAACTTGAGATTATGAACATTTAGCTGTAAACATTAACGGATCATCTTCTCTCTCTATTTTATTAATATTTGGGCGAGCTGTGTGCTCTATCTAAGCTGTAGAAAAAGTACTTCCATGGTTAGATCCAACAAATTAGTTTCCTACAGCAGAGTCAGAATATTTGACTGTGGGGCAGGTCCCTGGAGATGTCATCTTACAATCAGTCCCTGCTGGAAATGATTTTTCTATAGTCCTGCTGAAAGAGGCTTTTATCAAGGAGGACATGGAAGATCTTGTGGAAATCCTACAGATATCTGCCATAAGTACATTAATATCGAGGGTAGCTAATGTGGCTTCTAATGAAATAGACCATAATTCCTTGTGGTGCAAGCTTCTTCTGAATCTCCTAGTCTAGTTTGATGTCCATCTTGTCCACTTGGAGGCCAGTGAAGCTTTGTAGTCTAGGTACAGCTGTTGAAAGAAAGTCCTTTGAAGCTCCAAACTCCTACTCCACTTAGGTAGATTTTGTTTGCTTGCCAGTTGTTCAGTGTGTGCCAATTCCCCTTTCATCGGAATTGGGGCAGAAAGAAGTGAGGATTGCTTTCAGGCTCTAGTAACAAATCTAATTCGCTTCTTGTGAAGCTTGGGTCCAAGCAGAAAGTGCTAACTGGAAGATGCATAACTCTTTTTTGTCCAAGAGCATCTATTTCTGCACCGCTTAGGGATATAAGGCACAGTCTTCAGGTCCTCTTAAATTTAAGACTGCCAGAAATTGCAAATAGTTCTCCTGCAGAAATAAAGAACAGACATTTGTGTGACTCCAGCTGTTTCAAAGTAGACTGGGGAGCTGTTATGACACGTCTGTTCCCCACCCTTGGATTTAGAAATGAAAATAGAGAAGATAAAAAGTAGTGGCCTTGATTGGCTCTTCTATCAATAAATATTGGAGAATGTACTTATAACCATCCTGTTCTGATCCTTTTCCATCACCACCGTGGGTGACCTCTGGTGGTGAATAATAAAGAGGAGACAGGACACCTAGAAAAGCTATCTTTAATCTCTATTCTGGAAGTGGAGAAAATAATTAAGCAATCTGCTAAACCTCTCAGTTCTCTCTGGACACCACAGTTAATAGTGATGGGAGAGTTAGCTTTGTCTCAAAGAGCTCTGTTTCATTTTACACTAAAATGAATGTCTTTTAGGCAAGTTGCCACAGTTAACTGACTGGATTAGAGTAGTGTATTCATTAGGTCAGTTAGGTGTGTCAAGAAACAGGTCTCGCACTAGTTTTGGGAATTAGAAGAAAGAAGGAAAGGCATACAGTAGATCTCTGTGCCAGATGGCAGTAGAGACATTTATACTAAAGCTAATCGAATTTGGTGCAAACCTGTAAAAGACACCTGCCAATTGCTGAGTCACCCAATCTGACAAAATCAAATTACAGCACATTGGCATTTCATTAGAAGACCTTGAAGAATTTGTCTACATGGAAGAATCTCAACAACATTTAGCTATGCACTTTGAGATGAACATCCTTTGACTGGTGCAGGAGTATGAACAGATTTCCAGAAAACATTGCAGACTACAGGAACCATTTGTGCTTCTGTTTGAGAGGCAGACAACCAGACACATCCCCAACAACCTGTGTGCCTGTCCTCAACAGTGAAGGGACACAGGGCAGAAAACATCCTGCAGCGAAGGAGGCTCCACACCTATTTGTACTACTCAGGGGACTCTGAGGACACAGATAAACTTCCAAGGGGCCTTAATGACTCTCTAAAACAGTGGTTCTCAACCTGTGGGTCGGGACCCCATTTGGGGTCGAATGACCATTTCACAGGGGTCGCCAAACAAGGCTGTCTGCCATTTTTTTCCCCTTTTCTTTGGCCACGTCCCTGGCACCCAGTGATGTATAAGTGGTTGGGGGTCACCACAACATGGGGAGCTGTATTATGGGGTCGCGGCATTAGAAAGGTTGAGAACCACTGCTCTGAAAGAAGGCAAATAACCAGCTGTCTGCAAAGAATATAAATCCTGCCATTCCCCACCATCCAGTCAGAGCTGAAGAAGCTTCTTGGATGAGAAGCGAAACGCCTTCAAGGAAAAATAAGGAAGTCCAGTTGCCTCCTGGACAACCATGACCTGGATGACTGAGAATCTCCATAGACATGGAAATGAAACATTATAATCTCTGGTGAATCATGTCCAATCACACACCAGAGTGGCAGCATTTTGTAATTAAATATTATCCAGAACTATCTCTAAAAAAAATGGGAGTATGACTAAAATCATTAAGCAGGATTAAGGGATATAGCGCAGCTCAAACATGGGTGCAATTAAGCTCTTGAATTTACCTCAGGGCTCCTTTTTTTTTTGCAATTAGATGCCTTGCAATTTTGCAACAGGTAAGAATAAGGAATGAAAAAAAAGGAGGCAAAGTGTACAGACATAGAGGGAGGGCAACATAATTTTGCTGAGACATTTGCCTAGATTGGAGCCACAAAATGAAAAGGACAATTAACTGAGGAAATGTAATGCTGCCTTGTTTCAGACTTCATGCCAACATCCTGTCTTTGAGAACTATATTAATGTTTTAGTATTATTCTTCTCCCTGTTAACTATTTTGTCACAAACATAATATATAGAAGGTCAATAACTTGAAAATAGATTTATTAGTATAAAAATGGGGGGGGGACAGTTTCACAAGGGGTGGGAATCAATGTCCTAATAATGTATTAATCACTATTCAACAAGGGCAGGGCTGAAGAACCTTGACCCTTTTATGACTTGTGGACTTCAACTCCCAGAAGCCAGCTTAGGAATTCTGGGAGTGGAAGTCCACAAGTCATAAAAGGGCCAAGGTTCCCCACCCCTGAACCAGGAGGATAATATATGAATATTTGTTGGGGGGGGGGGTTGATGCACTTTTTTTTTAATGTCTTCATTGTTTGTATTCCCTCTCTTTTTTGTCCTTTTTTTGGATTTTTGGGAGTTTTCTATTTTAACCTTGTCTTGAATAAAATAAAAATAGAAACACACGGAGACAAAAGAGAACTATATTAATTCTTATTTCTTTCTCAGGAAAACCCGTGAGTTAACACTGGCAATTCTGCGCCAAACTATCTGTGAGGTTGTGTCACTTAACCAACAGGGTGAATCATAAGCAGATACATACTTCTATTTGGAAACTGTTTTACATTTACGAAAGTGTATGTGTGTGCGCCTTTGAGCAAGTTTTTGATCCTGCCCACTGCCTGGACTAGTCCTTGCAGTTTTCTTAACAAGGTTTTCCTGAAATGGAAATTGCTGTGCTTTCTTTCAGGGCTGAGAGAATGACTGGCTGAAGGCCACCCAGTTGGTTTCATACCTAAAGCAGGACTAGATCTCCCAGTCTCCCAGTTTCTAACCTGGTGCCTTAACCACTATACCAAACTGGCTCTCTTTAAGTATATAAAAATGATTTATTATTATTTCTTGTACTGTCTGCTAACTCTAAGGGGTCCTTTTAAAACAAAAAAGCCCTTTAATTTGTCTTATTCAGTCAAACAGCTTCATTAGAACAGTTCTTATTACTTGCCTTGCCCCATCCTTGTCACAGCCATTAAACTATTTGTATCTCTGGTAAAAACTGAGGGAAAAAATGTCATATCAAGCTCAACTGCTATAACTTCAAGGACACATCAATGTAGTCTTATTAGTACTTACTACATAAGTCTTATGTAGTTTCATATTCTTAGCAGCAATATGGAAGTTTTCCATTGCTTCTTCTGGGATTCTTCGATTTCCTGATCTTGCCTACAGTCCTAGCACTCATTCAAACTCTCTCATCCAAATACTCATCAGATCCAACCCTGCTTAGCTTCTGAGCCCAAACAATGTAAGGAACGGACCAACATTAGTATGGTATCCCAAAACTGTCCTTCAGTACAAAAGCCACTTATTTCTTCTCATCTAGGTATGCAGCTCATGTGGCTTTCAATTCGGCATGAAATTCAACCGGTGATTTATCTTTAACTGCTCCATCTCAATAAATGTAAGTCATTACATACGGTAACACGTTAAATCAGCTCTAATAATTATCTCTAATTACTGACACCAAACTATATCATTTTTAAAACTAAATATTTACATTCTGCCCCATTAAAATACCACTTCTTTTCCTGAATAGTTTCATTATTTTATTTGCCCAGAGAGATTATTTTGTCATATAAACTCAAAGCAAACATTTGCCTCTTGTAAAGGAAGATTTAAAGACTCCAATTATAATTTTGCAAGAAGTGAGCATAATTAATACATAGGTCTATATAAAAACAAACAAATAAATAACAGAATTTTCCATTCTAGGTTGAGTTTGAAGGTGAGAGAGGACTCATTAGAAAACACCCTGATGTTGGGAAAGATTGAAGGCAAAAGGAGAAGGGGACAGTGGAGGATGAAATGGTTAGATAAATTTCATCAACACAATGAGCATAAATTTGGGTAAACTCCAGAAGATAGTGGAGGACAGGTGAGCTTGGTATGCTATGGTCCATGGACATGACTTAGCAACTAAACAACAACAGCAAATTCAACAGATGTCTACATAAATAGTTAATGGCATGAGGCTACATCAAAATGAATGACATCATAATTACCTATCATTCAGCATTGATTATTCCTAACTGAGAACTGCTCTCCAAGTTCTCCTCCAATCTTTCTGTGCAGGATCCTAAAATCCAAGCTATTAAAAACAAACCTTCCATCACTGAGTTACTTGTTCACTGTTTGAATGAACCAAGTGCAAAACATGAAATCTTGCAAATGTCTACCTGAAAGCATTCCATTTAGGAGAACTGGGGGGGGGAGGCATCAAGTTAAATTCTTTCAACATTTCTCTTTGCTTTTTATTAAACAAAGAGTAAAGACTGTGCCAGAAAATATCGAAACATGAGCAACAACCCTATTTGTATATGGCACAAATAAAATCCCTGAGAGATTTTTCATCGCTGCCCACTGCTCAACCTTCTTCAGATTCCGCAGGATTGTAAACAAGGAATGTTAAGGAAAAACACCATTACAGAGCAGCAAAGAAAAGGAACAAATACTTCATAAGAACAGCATTAAAATAGCTCAAAGAAAATGATTCTTGTTTTATTATGAAAGGAGTAAAGGAATTCTAACTTCACTGAATTTTTTTGAACAAGGACAGAGGAGAACCAATGGAAATCAAGAGGTTTGGTTTAGTGGCTAAGGTAATGGCTTAGAAACCAGGAGACTGGAGTTCTAGTTTACCTTAACAATGAAAAATGGCTGGGTGACTTTGAGCTAGACCAGGGGTCGGCAACTTTGGCTCTTTTATGACTCGTGGACTTCAACTCCCAGAATTCCTGAGCCAGCATGGCTCACCTTGGAAACCTTTCCCTTTCCCCTCAGCATGGCTGGCTCAGGAATTCTGGGAGTTGAAGTCCATGAGTCATAAAAGAGCCAAAGTTGCCTACCCCTGGACTAGACACTCTCTCTCTCATCCCAACCCACCTCACAGGATTGTTGTTGTGGAGAAAATAGGAGGAGAAAGGAGTATTAAATGTGTTTGCTGCCATGAGTTACTTATAAAAGTAATAAAGGTGGGATAAAAATCAAATAAATAAGTAGCCATTATTTTTTCTAACAGCATCCTGATAATATAAATATTGCTGTTCTTTACATCAGAATACAGGATTTATTGTTTCTATATCCTACAACTGCATTCATACAAAGACAAAATGGATTTTGCCTGACTTATAAAACAAATATAGTGCCAAAACAAGAGCATGTGTTAATGCATAATCACAGGAGAAGAAACCAATGTATAAATCACAGCAGTTCATTCATAAAAACAGATTCAAACAAACACAGTGCCTAAATTACCCAAGTATATAATGTATCCTTACAGCACAAGTTTAGCCATTTTAAGCCTGATCCAAAGGATAAGAAAAGGGATATGTTGAATATGAATCCTATAAAATATAAGCCATTCATAGTTGTTCTGGGTTCAGATACCCTTAAAATGAAATAATATAATATTGTATAAGACAATGAGATGTTTTAAAATATAAAATATTTTTAAAATTCTATTTTCCTCTCTGAAGTGCTTGCCTTTTGAACATTCAAACATTTTTGACATGCAACATGGCTGCTATACAGTACACACACAGAGATCAACCAGGCCAGTATCTAAATAGCTGTCACCCCATCAGGTAGATCAGACTAAGAAACCAATGCTATATAAGTGACAGGCCTGTTTTTATTGTAACAGTTATAATAACAGACTCTTGTAAGCCTGGATGTGCTTCTCTCCTCCCTCCCTTTATCTTGGTTTGAACTAGGGAAGGGCTTGTCTGAGAGGCTTTTTTCATTTCTTAGAATGGGCAGTTGTCTGATCATTGCCTTAACGGTGATTTTAAGGCTATTCCCTACGCCCTTTACACTAACCTACTATTTTGTACATTATCTAGCTATGCTTCTCTGGGGTCCCTACCATAGGTCTGCCTTATAACTGAAGATTCTCTCATTGACGGAGAAAAAAATCAGAACCTGGAAAGAGCTTACCAAAAACAGTTTGGTCCAAAAACAGTAGCAAGGTTGGAAACAGTCATCTTGTTCTCAGTGTGATGATCAGCAACCCGTTTCAGGAAATGGCAAAGATACTTAAGGAGACAATAGTGAGTCTCAGGCATCTGCCTCAGAAGGTCTCTTAAATCGCTAGTCTCCAGGCCACACTTCTGGCTGGCTGTAAAGAGATAAAGAAAACATGATATACCTATTCTGTGGTACATATCAAACAAAAGTAGCAGAAATGAACTGTACTGAATTTTTTTAAAAAAGAGAATGAATAGTAATGTGAAGATTATCGTCAAAGCAAGTTCCTTAACTAAACTATGAATTAATCTTTCTGTTTTGCTCCAACTGCAACTGTCAACTTTGAAAATGAGCGTGGCTGCAGCCATTTTCCCTACTCATTTTTGGTTGACACATAGCATGGAGGGAGGAGGGTTTACCAGGTGCTTCATTAGACTAAACAGATTTTCTCCCATGGGAACCAAGGTCATTGGCTGCTCCCGGGACTGCAGGCTGGGCGTTTCGTGAAAAGCCCACCAAGAAGATGTATTGGGGAATGTGGTAGCTTGCATACCTTTAGGGGTGGGATTTCTTAACTTTGTATTGGGAATTGTTACGTGTCTATTCAGACTTGGTTTCACTTTTGACGTGCTGATATTTTGTATCAATAAACATGTACTTTGAGGAACTTGCAAAGCCTCGGAGTTCTGCTTTATTTGTCTCTGTCTGTTGGAACCATGATAGCAATTTGATATGACACTTATTCCTGCTTAGCATTTTGTCCCTAAACCAAGGCCTGCAAATCTTCTTCAAACCATGACTGTGCAGTATGGGCAAACTGTAACTGGCCAGGTCAAATGTCCTGCTAAACAAGGGCTAGAAAAACACATATCCAAAACAGAGGAAGGAGGAAAACTTCAAGTTTATAGAAAGTTCCTCAGCTGGGGAAGTTGAGAATGAAAGTGGGAATTGGTTGATTGTGGCATATATTTCTCTTCTATTCCTCTGCAGTACGGGTGTCCAACCTTGGCAAATGTTAAAACCTGTGGACTCCAACTCCCAGAATTCCCCTGCCAGCATGGCAGTTGAAGTCCACAGGTCTTAATGTTACCAAGGTTGGAGACCCAGGTTTACAGAATACTAAAACCTTTTTAGGAGAAGACCTTACAGTAGTGCAAATCTATCCAGGTTTTTATAGCAGACTGCTGTAAAACAGGACAACGCATTATTAAAGGAAAAGATGAAGCTAGGCCTACTGAATCCAGCTTCTTCAATATAAACCAAGTAAACAGTAAAGTTATAGCTACCTTGGCTACAAGTACTGTTTATCTTGAAAGAGATTAGTGTCTTGCTGGTTTTCCACAAAATTATAAAAGGTCTTTGTTAAAACAGAAAAGTACCAAATCAGCTGAAAAGTCAGCAGCAGCTTGTAGGGGGCAATTAGTGTGCAAAATATTTTCTAATCAGGCAGATAGCCAGAAAACCTGCTTCCTTATGAAAGAGATTGGATCCTGGGGCTCATAATTGAGTCTTTGTACTATTATTTAGATAAAGTGCATTACTAGATAATTTATTGTCATGGTGAAGAGCCCTGGTTTGATGCATGCATTACACAAAGACGGGATCTAAAAGCCTTAATGTCTGAACAAGTTATAGTGGTCTGGGTCACACTCAATGCTATGTCATGAAACATGAAACTTCCCAGAGTCTTTGGTAGCTGGGTGCCATACAAATTTTATAAACAAACATTCATTTGGTTCATGCAATGTGCTAAGAAACACCAATCAGCATTGTGTGCCAACCTGACCTTGGTATCATTAAAGTAACCAGCTTGTTCGTAACTTGTATTTGGCTTTTGCTCAAGAAAGTAAAATCAGTCCAGCAATAGAAAAAGACTCATTTCTTTCTAAACTTTGTGAAGAAAGAAAGAAAGAAAGAAAGAAAGAAAGGAAGGAAGGAAGGAAGGAAGGAAGGAAGGAAGGAAGGAAGGAAGGAAGGAAGGAAGGAAGGAAGGAAGGAGGCAATCTAACTTTACGAAAATATGAAAGTCGATTATTCTGGTCCACTTCACTCTTAAAGCTAAGATTTCTTAACCCTGATTTGCTGAAAAAGTTATTATAGCTTGGCTTCCTATATACAAGTAGTCCTTGACTTGCAACCATTTGTTTAGTGACAGTTCAAAGTTACAACGGCACTGAAAAAACTGACTTATGAACTGTTTTTTCACTCTTATGACCACTGCAGCCTCCCCATGGTCTTGTAATCAAAATTTGGATGCTGGGCAACTGGCATACATTTATGACAGTTGCAGTGTCCCAGGGTCATGTGATCGCCATCTGCGAACTTCTGACATGCAAATTCAATGGGGAAGCCAGATTCATTTAACAACCATGTTACTAACTTAACAACGGCAGTGATTCAGTTAACAAATTGGTAAGGTGGTAAAATGGGACAAAACTCACTTAACAACTGTCTTGCTTAGCAACAGAAATCTGGGGTTCAATTGTGGTCATAAGTCGAGGGCTTCCTGTAATACTAAACTCGTAAGACTGGGGTTTGCACATCACACTGTGTTTACCATAAACAAACAAAGCAGTGGTGTCTGCATTGGATGTGGTGAGAATTTAGTTTTTAAAGAGCTATAAAGACATATGCACAATAAAATACGCTTGCTATATTGGAAAAGGAATTTGCACAGAGGAGGTGCATAGTTCATTTTATTTTCCAGAACTTGTACATTTGTGCATTTCTTCAGTGTAATTTTCTTTAGGCCCATGCTGGAAAAGTCCTCTAACCAGTGGTGGGGTTCAAATATGTAAATAACCAGTTCTCTGTGTGGATGCCGCTTCCGGAAGTCCATTCCGGGCCTGAGCAACAAAAAATTAGCTACCGGTTTTGCTGAGGTGGTGTGAACTGGCTGAATCCCACCACTGCCTCTAACCTACTTATTAAATTACTGCTTGTTTTTTCTGTAAACAGTACATAAGCAAATGTTCTTTTAGTGTTATTGCTTGGGTGGTACAATACAGGCTTTGTTGAGAAGTATGGAAACAAAGCCCGTATCTGTAACGTTGATTTTATCAAAAAACATACCTGGGAACAAGGGACAAACAGGACTCAAAACTGAGCCACGAGACAGCCCAGAAAAGCACTTAAGAAGGGCATTTATTTTTTTTTACTGCAAAGTTGTTCTGGATTATGAGAGAGGAAACATTTGCAATCTCAATGTAAAAAATTCAAAATTTTGCAAATGGAACTTGACAGCCATTTGTCTGAAATGGTACAGGGTGGAGCAGGGGGTTGGACTAGAAGACCTCCGAGGTCTCTTCCAACTCTGTAATTCTCTTAAATACAGGAAGGAAGGAAGGAAGGAAGGAAGGAAGGAAGGAAGGAAGGAAGGAAGGAAGGAAGGAAGGAAGGAGGGAGGGAGGGAGGGAGGGAGGGAGGGAAATTGAAAGAGGATTCATTAAGCAATGACATATTTTGCTCTATTAAAGTGAGGATGAAGAATCTGTGTTCAAATGTACTAGTTTTAATTGAACCGCAGGTTCTTTATAATTCTCCAGGGGAAGAAAAATAAAGATTAGTTTAATGCTTTCTATACGGAAACATCTAGCTATGCCTTTATGAGACTGGTCTGGTTTGGGCTTAGCAGTCGTTCCAGGTGATAAATAATAGATTGTGCATCAGAATCATGTCACTATGGTCAGCCATGGTTAAAATCAAGCATGGTTTAGAACAGGGGTCCTCAAACCTGGCCACTTTAAGACTTGTGGACTTCATGCTGGCTGGGGAATTCTAGGAGTTGAAGTCCACAAGTCGTAAAGTGGCCAAGTTTGAGGACCCTTGGTTTAAAACATCAAAAAAGTATACATGCTGTAGAAAGCTGTAATACAATTGGACTTTTTCAGTTTAGCATGTTATGTGGCTCACTAACTCAATTTTCTAAGTTATGCTTTATTGCTTACAAAGCTGTGTAAACCAGCCAACTGTGGAATATTAAAAAAAACTTTAATAAGAAATCATAGCTTAATGTGAAGTGTGAGTAAAGTGAACAAATTAGTTCACCTAGCATATAGAACAGTACACACAAAACAGATTTAATTCTCCAAAGCAGATATTTCAAGCCTACATTAAAATACAAGGGAACTCACTTAGAGTCTTCTAAATACAATTTATCTGCTTCTGCCATGGAGCTTCTAGGCTTCTTAATCTGCAAAAATCAAAGTAAGCTGTTCCAAAGCAATCACTCTATTTAATTAAAGTTCCACATACTGTATAGGGTAGACTTATTCACCCGTATAATTTTTGTTTTCATGTGAATATGAAGTATTATAGGTGATGAATATGTCACAGCATTTCTGTAAAAAGGTTTCTAAAAAATAATGGCATTTCTCCTGTCAGAAGCAAGGATAAATATTATTTTTTTTAAAATCTGTAAAAGTAGCAGACCACCCAATAAGGATGTATTTTGATGAGAAATCATCACCTTGATAAAGCTGGATGAATTTGGGGTAAAGGGCAGAAGGGATCACCCGATCTGGCAGCTCCCGCAGAAATAACTTTAGCAAACTGGCTGCTGCGCTTACGTCAGCCTCTGCAGCAAGATCTACTTGATCTCCACCCTCGTACTTCAGACGCAGCTGTTCGACTGTTTTCAGGTTACCATTTACCCTGAAAAGGCCTTCCTGCTCCAGACCTGTAATTACACACATGAAACAAGACAAGACCATTGGCAGATTTCCTGGCCTATGTTAAAAAAAATACATGGATAGAACAAATGATGGCAAAACTCATAAAAACAGCTGCTCCCCATCTTTATGGATCAGGAAACTGAGGTCCAGGCTATATATACAGGAGAAGGTTGGAACGAGCAATAAAGCGGGGGTGGGGAACGATGGCCCCTTTATAACCAGTGGACTTCAATTCCCAGAATTCCTGAGCCAGCATGCAAGCATGGCTGGCTCAGGAATTCTGGGAGTTGAAGTCCATAAAGGGGCCATCGTTCCCCACTGCTGCATTAAAAGGTTGGCCAGTGAGGATGCATAGTTCCATTTTTTGAAGTCCCATTGGTGAAAAACTGCACACAGGAAGTCAACACAGTGAGAACGGACAATACTACAAGTTTTCTCACTAATGTTCAGGATTAGGAAATGAGCCTTCAAAGAAAGCAGCTTCTTTCCCATTGGCCTGAGTCTCCAAAAGAACTACAGGTAGTCCTCGATTTACAGCCATTCACTTAGTGACTATTCCACTGAAAAGAGTGATTTACGACTGGCCATTGCACTCACAACCAATGCAGCGTCCTCACTGTCATGTGATCAAAATTTGAACACTTGGCAACCCGCATATATTTTTAACGGTTGAAGCTTCCTAAGGTCACGTGATGGACATTTGTGATCTTCCCAGCTGGCCTCTGGCAAAAGGGAAGCCGAATTTGCTTACCAGCTGCAGTGATTCGCTGAACAACATGGCAAACATGTCATGAAATTGGACGCAACTGACTTAACTGCCTTGCTTAACAACAGAAATCTTGGTCGTAAGTTGAGGACTACCTGTACAGCTAAGGAAAGAGGAATATCCCCAAATACATTGCTCTCCAGAGCAGGGATCCCCAACTTTATGACTTGTGGACTTCAATTCCCAGAATTCCTCAGCCAGCCATGCTGCCTCTGAGAAAAGTGCTTGAAACTTCTGTAATCAGAAGTTATATATTTATTGTACAATATCCTGGAGCAGAGGCCAAAGTTAAGAACAGCCTCTAAGATGCAAAATCCAGTGTTGAAATCCCACCTGACTTACACCTTCATTAAATCAGCTACAATCTCTCAATTCCATTCCATTAGCCATTTGAGTATGATTATAATTTCCCTTCTAACAATGTTGGTGTTAGACGCTGTTAAATATGCTGTTGCAGAGTAAAATAATAATAATAATACACAGAATGCACGGAAATCCCAGACTGCCATCTGCTGGACAACATGAAAATATTGTAAAGAAACAAGTTTGATTTCAGTCTTTTTTAACTTGACATCATTCAGACGTGTTGGCATTGCAAATCTAGAATTCTGTTTGAAAAGCTGTGTAGGAAATGTTGGAACTGCAGTATGGAACACATCTGGATAGAACATCAGTCATTTCCATGCCCCTTGTTTCAGTCTACCAATTACAGTCGTAAGTTGTGACGGTCATAAATTGGGTCACACTCATGACCAACTCAATTTTATGATCTTTTTTATGGGGGTCATTAAGGGGATCAATGGTTTGCTATGGGCAAGTTTTGCTGAAAACTGGAAGTAAATGCCAGGGTTTTACAAAGATATTGTAAAACAGAGCCTGCCCATTACACCTGGTTAAGTTGTGACTGTCATCAGCAGGTCATCACCTGACCAGCACAACATTACAATGTTTTTACAGTGGTTGTTAAGCAAATCATAGTTGCTAAGTGAATCCACAATCATTAAGTGAACCCATTGTTTGCTACGGGGAAGGGTTGCCCAAAACCAGAAGTAAAAACTGATTTTTGGCAGAAAACATTATAAATTGCAGTCGTAGAACTGTGGGACACAAAAAACAGCCATAAATGCAAGCAGGCTGCCAACTGCCTGAAATGCAGTCACATGACTACAGAGGAGGCGTGGCTATCAGAACTGGATTATAAGTACCTTTTGGGGGTCCATCATAACAGTCACTAAGAGAGCAGTCATAAGTTGAGGACTATCTGTATTTCTGAACCTCAGAAATATTAAGAAGTACAGGTAGTCCTCGACTTACAACAGTTTGTTTAGTGACTGTTCTAAGTAACAACAGCACTGAAAAAAAGAGACTTATGACCCTTTTTCACACTTAAGACCGTTGCAGTATCCCCATGGTCATCTGATCAAAATTCAGAAGCTTGACCACTGACTTATATTTATGACGGTGGCAGTGTCCCGAGGTCATGTGATCCACCTCTTGTGACTCTCTGACCAGCAAAATCAGTGGGGAAGCCAGATTCACTTAACAACTGTTTTACTACCTTTACAGCTGCAGTGATTCACTTAACAACTGTGGCAAGAAAGATTCATAAAATGGGGCAAAACTCACTTAACTGTCTCACTTAGCCACAGAAATTTTGGGCTCAATTGTGCTTGTATCTGTATAAAGTTCAAATCTCAGAATTCTTCAGCTAGTATTTGGGAAGTTGAAATCCACACATCTAAAAGGTGCTGAGGTTGAAATAACACTGATTTAAGCTAAGGAGTTCCAAGGATTCTAGAGTCTTTTGAAAGCAAAGGGTTCAAAGACCACCACCCCCATTCTCCCCTGCATCATTTTGGTTGCCTTCTTCATTTTGGGAGAAAGCTTCTCTCAACCATCTGAACTTTTGTTCCTTACTATGTTTTATAGGTCATAAAACATTTGGCACCATTAAAATGCTCTTCCCGAAGAAGATGGGAAAACCACACAGGCTGAAGTGGGTGACAGCTGCCGGCTGACTTGGGACCAATCCCTCTTTCAAGGCCACCTACTTCACAAGGTTGTTGTTGGGCGAAAAATATGAGGTGTGAGCATTCTTGAGTTGACCAAAAATAAAAGTGGAAGCAAACCAAAACAGAATGCATTGCTTTGTAGAGAACAGGGTTTCCCAACGTTGGTCACTTTAAGACAGTGGTTCTCAACCTGTGGGTCGGGACCCCATTTGGGGTCAAACGACCATTTCACGGGGGTCGCCAAACAACGCAGTCCGCCATTTTTTCACCCTTTTCCTTAGCTGTGCTATTCCCTTTTATTCTATTGGCTTTTGAAAGCCAATAGAATAGACTCTCTTGAATAGAGTCTAATTCTATTGACTTTCAAAAGCCAATAGGAATTGTCCAGGCTGTCTCTGCCCTGCTGAGCCTGCCAAAAGTCCCATTCTGCAAATGGTGCTGCACCAGTTGAGTAGTCCTCGACTTACGACTGGTTGAGTAGTCCTCGACTTACGACCGGTTGGGGGTCGCGGCATTAAAAAGGTTGAGAACCACTGCTTTAAGACCTGTAGACTTCAACTCCCAGAATTCTATGCTGGCTGGGGAATTCTGGGAGTTGAAGTCCACATGTTTTAAAGTGGCCAAGGTCGGGAAATCTTGCCTTAGAGGTACACAAGTTTTTCTTTCTTTTTTTTTTAAAGAGGAGAACTTGCTAGTAGCTTACCGTGCCAAGAGAGATATTCTACAATATCCCACACCACTGTTGGGATTCCACACTTGGTCAGCCCTTCTTGCTGCATTTCCTGAAGACTAGTGCCAAACAACTTCCGGTGACAGGACCCCTTCTGCCTGCTCAGGGGCGGAACGGCAATCCTTTTCACATCTTCTTTAAGCTTGACCGCTGAATTGCTTTGCTTGAAAGAACACAAAAAGGGAGAACACCCAGTCAGAGTGACGATTGGAGGAGGCATGGCTTCTCAAAGTTCTGAAGGAACTGGAGGGATTTTATGGAACAGAAGCTTTTCTGAGGTCGAGATTCCTGGCAGGACTTCTAAAAAGATCTGGGACAGATCATGCACAGGCGTGCACAGATGCAAACACAGACACCCTGTGTGAACAGGAAAAAGAAAGTCAACAGGAGTGGCCTGAATCTGTAGCCAAGCAACTGAGTGGATAACTTAGAAACATTCAGGCTGCATCACCAGAGAAACGATGGGCGGAGCAGAAATTAAATGTACTCAATGAATGGGTGCCATCCCTCTGAAAAATGAGTGTAAATATAAGATGTAATATTGTGCAATGGCAAAGGACAGATTGAGTCTAATGTGGTAGCACAACATTGAAATGTGAATTTGTAATGCAGCCACGCACAGACAGGCGTGGCATTTTTCATCCTTGTTGGCAGTCTGCCTCAAAGCAGAACATCATGCTTGTAAATTAAAAAATTATCTCAGTATGTCATTAAGGAAGGATTGCCCACACCAATGGCCAACATCTGGCATCTCTAGACAAAGCTTGAGGGAGAAAGAAAAAGAAAGAAAGAAAGAAAGAAAGAGGAAGGAAAGAAGAGGAAAGAAGAGAAAAGAAGGAGGAAGGAAGGAAGGAAGGAAGGAAGGAAAGAAGGAAGGAAAAAGAAGGAAGGAAGGAAAAAAGAAAGAAAGAAAGAAAGAAAGAAAGAAAGAAAGAAAGAAAAGAAGGAAGGAAGGGAGGGAGGGGAGAGGGAGGGAGGGAGAGAGGAAAGGACGAAGGAAGAAAGGAAGGAAAGAAAGAAGGGAAAGAGGAAGAGAAAAGAAAAAAAATAAAAAGGAAAAAAGAATGAACGAAAGAGACAGGAAAAAACACAAGGAAGAAAAAGAAAAAAGGAAGGAATAAAAGGAGGGAGGGAAGGAAGGAAGGAAGGAGGGAGGGAGGGAAGGAAAGGAAAAAAGGAAGGAAGAGAAAAAAAAGGAAGGAAGAGAATTATTTCAATTCACCATACTCTGTGCTTGCAACTTTACAATTGCTTCTATCAGCATCAATGTTGCAGCCTCCATACTTGACCCCAGATGTCCCGAGGGGGGGGGGGGGACAGAAGCCAGGCTCACTCTAAATACAGCCAAACAGATCACTGTATACAGGGCCCACTATATTTAATGAGGGGACAGAGCAAGGTGGGGAAAGGTCCATGCAACCATTCCTTACCCCACCTCTGATTACAATTATTTGAAGTCACCGTTTTAAAGTTACCATGTTTGAAAAACACTGCTTTTCAGCTGTATATAATTAAAGCAACCATATACATATATCAGCAAATATAAATAAAAAGCAATACATAAAATATAATTTTACCTGAAAATTAACTTCTGGGACTATTACTATTTCTTTTTTTTAGTCTACAGACATGGGATTTTCTATTGGGTTACTTAGGGAGCCAATACACTTCGCTTATAAAAAATACTAATATAATTTCCCTAGAAAGCAGATGTAATTATATTATTCATCTGTTTTTAGGAAACTGGGGACAATCCTTGGCTTTGCACACCTATCTTCTCTGATACTCTCCCCATACAGCAGTGGTGGCCAACCTAAGGCATGCGTGCCAGAAGCGGCACTCAGAGCCCTCTCTGTGGGCACGCGTGTCATTGCCCCAGACCCGCCTCCCTCCGCGGCCCCCTCCTCACCAGCAGCCCCCCCCCAGAGGAGAGTTGCTCCTGAACACAGCCCGCGTGGAGCAGCGCAGCTAAGGACATGGCAGCCGAGCAACGGGGACAAGACTTCGCCCTTGCACCCGTTGCGCACAGTTGATGCTGTGGGGTGCAGGTGAAGGGCGTGACTGCCATGGCCCTGCTATGCTGCCTGGGTGATCTGTGGCGGGCCGTGGAAGTGGTGGGTGGCCCCATGGGCGGGTCAGGGTCGGGCGGGAGGGGCTGTTTTTGGACACTCGTTCTCTCCTCTTCTTGTTCAAGGCTCCCTACAGTTGCTGAACACCTCTCTCTATATCAGTGGTTCTCAACCTTTCTAATGCCGCGACCCCATAATACAGTTCCCCATGTTGTGGTGACCCCCAACCACTTATACATCACCGGGTGCCAGGGGTGTGAACAAAGAAAAGGGGGAAAAAATGGCGGACAGCCTTGTTTGGCGACCCCCGTGAAATGGTCGTTTGACCCCAAATGGGGTCCCGACCCACAGGTTGAGAACCACTGCTCTATATCCATTTTCAATCTAAGCATGCTGTGATTAAGTAACCCTAATCCTTGGCCATTATAGCACCAAAGCATAGATAGCAATAAATCTGATACCTGTGTAAATCACCCATATTAAAATGCTGATAAGTCTATGAGAAAGAATACAGGATATATACAATTTTTACACCCGCACTCCTCCACTTACCAGCATTTGTTTAGTGACCATTTGAAGTTACAACAGTGAAAAAGTGACTTATAACCATTTTCCACATTTACAACCATTACAGCATCCCCGTAGTCACATGATCAAATTTGGATACTTGGTAATTGGTATGTATTTGTGATGCTTGCAGTGTTCTGGGGTCATGTGATCCCCTTTTGTGACCTTCTGACAAGCAAAATCAATGGGGAAGTCAGATTCACGTAACAATTGTGTTACTAATTTAACAACTGCAGCGATTCACTTAACAATTCTGGCAAAAGAGGTCATAAATGGAGCAAAACTCACTTAACAACTTTCTTGTTTAGTAATGGAAGCTTTGTGGTTTCAGTTGTGGTTATAAGTTGAGGATCACCTGTACATCTTTTATGCAGTATGATTTTTTCTCCATCTAATTGAATCCATTTCTCTCAAGACAGAATGAACAGGCTACATAGGGCAGGGGTAGGCAACCTTGGCTCTTTTATGACTCGTGGACTTCAACTCTCAGAATTCCTGAGCCAGCATGGCTCAGCATGGAAACCCCTCCCTTTCCCCTCAGCATGGCTGGTTCAGGAATTCTGGGAGTTGAAGTTCACGAGTCATAAAAGAGCCAAGGTTGCCTATCCCTGACATAGGGGAACAGCAAATCTTCATATGCCTGTCTGAACCATCTATCTTGAATGAACAGAGTTTCAAATCATGTTAAATCTTGTCTGCTTCTGATTGTTTAAAAAGTGCTCCTGCAAACAGGCAACAAGTAGCACATTGACAATCCCTACTTCAACCATCTTCATCCTGAAGGCAGGCTTGCACGCATTTGTTTTTGAGATCAAGAGCCCGACAATTTCGATCACTTTTACTGACAAAGTACATCAGCAAAAAATCAGCAAAATCCCAAAATCAGATGTCCTCACATAAGGGAAAATCCTACTTAGAGAAGCCAACCACATTTCCCTCATGCCTCTTCTTCTAAAACATGTAGACTGGCACTTGTGCGACTGTCTTTATTGTGAAATCAAATGCTGCAAATTCCTGAAGCACTGAAACAACTTTACAAAACAGCAATAAAACAGGGGTAAAACAATAACAAACACAAGCTGGATGAGATCTAACTTTACTTTTCCAGGCATGGGCACAAATGCCACTGAACACATATTGTATCAAGAAATGATTTCCCAGAGCTAAAAATAATACCACCAAACAAAGCAAACCCTCTCCCAATGTTCATGGGAGGCAACATCTGCCACAGAAGGCTATAAGTGGTCTTTGATGCTCTTTGAACTTGGTGGTTTCCTTGCAGACGTTTCATTATCCAAACTAGATAAGGTCATCATTGCATAATGTCTATAGAGATTCTCAATCATCCAGATTATGGTTGTCCCAAAGGTGCTTTTTTTCAAAAGGTAATTAGTGCATAGTTTGAATAATGAAACGTCTGCAATGAAACCACCAAGTTCAGAGAGCATCAAAGACCACTTATAGCCTTCTGTGGCAGATGTTGCCTCCCATAACATTAGGAGAGTTTGCTTTCAGCACCTTGTTGTTGTTAGTTGCAAACTCATATCCAACCCATTGTGACCTCATGAACAACGTTCCTCCAGGCTTTCCTGTCCTCTACCATCTTCTGGAGTCCATTTAAACTCACGCCTACTGCTTCAGTGACTCCATCCAGCCATCTCATTCTCTGTCGTCCCCTTCTTCTATTGTCCTCAATCTTTCCCAGCATTAGGCCCTTCTCCAGTGAGTCCTTCCTTCTCATTAGGTGGCCAAAGTATTTGAGTTTCAGCTTCAGGATCTGGCCTTCTAAAGAGCAGTCAGGGTTGATCTCCTCTAGGACTGACCGGTTTGATCGCCTTGCAGTCCAGGGGACTCGCAGGAGTCTTCTCCAGCACCATATTCAAAGGCCTCGATTCTTTGGCGCTCAGCCTTTCTTATGGTCCAACTTTTACAGCCATACATTGCAACTGCACCTAGTAACCCTCATTTCAACCCTGGGCTACAAATATTTGTTACAGTAATCTATACAATTATTCTTAACATACAACAGTTCATTTAATGACCGTTCAAAGTTTCATTGAAAAAGGTGACTTATGACACGTTTTTCACACTTACAAACATCTGCAGCATTCCCACTGTCATATTTATGACAGTGGCAGGGTCCCAGAGTCATGTGATCACCTTTTTCGACCATCTGACAAGAAAAAGTCAACGAAGAAGCCAGATTCACTTAACAACTGTGGGGAAATCACTTAACTGAGGCAAGAAAGAGGGTAAAATGGGGCAAAACTCCCTTAACAAATGTCTCGCTTAGCAACAGAACTTTTTTGGGCTCAACTGTGGCCGTAATATGTCGAGGACTACCTGTATTGCAATGGTTCCTGAAATCTTTATTATTATAATTGGATGCCAGGAGAAAAAGACGGCAAATATCTCCAACAATAAAATAATACAGACTGCCTAAACCCAGCAAGGTAGCCAGAGTGAATAACAAGCTAGCAGGGGTCTTCAAACTTGGCCCTTTTATGCCTTGTGGACTTCAACTCCCAGAATTCCTCAGCCAGTGTGCCTGGCCGAGGAATTCTGGGAGTTGAAGTCCACAAGTCATAAAAGGACCACGTTTGAAGACCCGTGAGCTAGAGGGTTGATGTCTATGGAAATTCTCAGTCATCCAAGTCATTGTTGTCCCAAAGCGGCTTGATTTATGAACGGATTTCCAGAAAACATTGCAGACTACAGGATCCATTTGCGCTTCAGTTTGAGAGGCAGACAACACAGACTCATCCCCAACAACCGGTGTGCCTGTCCTCAACAGTGAAGGGACACAGGGCAGAAAACATCCTGCAGCGAAGGAGGCTCCACACCCATTTGCACTACTCAGGGGACTCTGAGGACACAGATAAACTTCCAAGGGGCCTTAATGACTCTCTAAAGAAGGCAAATGACCAGCTGTCTGCAAGGAATATAAATCCTGCCATTCCCCACCATCCAGTCAGAGCTGAAGAAGCTTCTTGGATGAGAAGCGAAACGCCTTCAAAGAAAAACAAGAAACTCCAGTTGCTTCCTGGACAACCATGACCTGGATGACTGAGAATCTCCATAGACATTTAGCCAGGCATTTTGGGATGAACACCCTTTTGAATGGTGTGCGAGTATGAACGGATTTCCAGAAAACTTTGCAGACTACCTTCCCCACCAACCAGTCAGAGCTGAAGAAGCTTCTTGGATGAGAAGCCAAAAGTCTTCAAAGAAAAAAAACACGGAAGTCCAGCTGCCTTGTCGGGGGATGGGGGGGAAGCACCTTTGGGACAATCTGGAGGGCCGCGCATCCACTGAGTAGCGCAGCGTTCAAACAGGCGCGCGCTTTTGCCCTCCCCTCGCCCGTCCCCCTGCTGCACGCCCGCTTGCTCGCCCGCGGACCAAACACGCACCCCCGGCCTTCTTTCTCCCGCTCTCCACGCCTCCCAACCGCCAGACCGAAGAGGCACAGCTCGTACTCACACAGACGGCTAAGGCGCCCGCCCCCATCCTTTCAGCGGGGTCTGGAAGAAGCAGCCAGGCGCCCGGGAGGCAGTGCAGCAAGGAGAGGCTTGGAGACTCTCCCTCTTCACGCCCCCCCCCCACCCGCGATCTTCTTTTTCCAGGCTCGGGAAGGCGGAATCTCTCTTCGCACGTAGCTTTATCCCCGAAGTCCACGACCAAGCAAGCGCCCCTAAAACGTTGCCCCGCCAAGTTAAAAAGTTTGCCTTGGTGCGCGCGACGGCCCCGCCTGACATCCAAGCGCTGCCAAGGGAAATCGCCGTCGGCTCCCTGGAAGTCACGTGACCCGAGGCTTAAAAAAGTCGAGCCGCATCTTTCCCGGAAATTCCAGGGATTTCACGGGGAGGCTGGCGTGGCAAGCACGGGGAATGCCCTGCTGTAAGTGGAGACACAAGAGAGAGAGAGAGGAAGGAGGCTCCTCGGAGGACTTGGACAAAGCAGGCGTGTTTCTGTCCAAGAATTTGAGATCTTGAGCTGGTTGTGCTGAGCAGGCTGCCGGATTTCCATTTTTAAATGCAATTGAGACCCTTTCCTGTTTAGGTGAGGTCTCCAGTTCTTGTAGAAGAATTCGTCTTCAGTACTGTTGACTGCTGATGGTTTTATAAATATAAACAGTAAACAAACAAACAAACAAATAAAGCGGAGCGGCAGAGGTTGAAGACCTGACTCACATCCTATTTCACTGCTGCCTGTATAAGAGGGTGAGAGGCAGGCACCTTGGCCTATACCAGTGGTTCTCAACCTTTCTAATGCTGCGACCCCATAATACAGTTCCCCATGTTGTGGTGACCCCCAACCATTTATACATCACCGGGTGCCAGGGGCGTGGCCAAAGAAAAGGAGGAAAAAATGGCGGACAGCCTTGTTTGGCGACCCCCGTGAAATGGTCGTTCGACCCCAAATGGGGTCCCGACCCACAGGTTGAGAACCACTGGCCTATACACTAAACAAATAACCCATTGGGACCCCCCCCCATCAAAATAACTTACCTTATGTGTGGCCAGAATTTGAAAATTACATTTAACACAGCACAGTACCCGAGCAAAATGGTTCTGCCAAGATCAGCATACGTGAGACTAATTGGAGTAGATTGTAGGGGTGATAGTGAAATATAATTTTATCATATTTTATTTATCTACATCTTAAATTGCCGTATTTGATTCTAATTTCATTTTTAAAATGTATTTTATCCCAATTTCATTTTAAATTGTATTTTATTTTTATTTCATCCTAAATTATATTTTAATTAATTCCATTCTAAATTGTTTTTACTGCATTTTAGTATAACGTGTGTTTGGAACTCTGCACCTTGATATGGCCCATGAGCTAATCAATAAAGATTATTGTTATAAATAAAACAATAAACAAACAAACAAACAGATAAAACCACCCAGTGGTTAAGGTGCTACCTGGGAACCAGAAGCTGAGTTGAGTTCTAGTCTCACTTTAGGAATGAAAATCCGGCTAAGTGATTTGGGGGCCAGTCTCTCTCCCTCTCAGCCCAACCCACCTCAAGCTTTTGTGAGCTGCTCTGGATCAGTCTGAAAAGTGTTGCAAAATAAACAAAACAAAGTATTTAACCCAAGAGGTACTAATGACTGTTTGTACACCTAAAATTCTTGATTCAGACCTTTATGATTCAGAACAGAACTAGATCTATTTCTTTAGGGCAGCATTTCTTAACTTCAGCCATTTTTAAGACATGGACTTCAACTCCCAGAGTTCCCAGTCAGCCCATGCTGGCTAGGGAATTCTGGGAGTTGAAGTCCAGAGTCTTAAAAGTTGCTAAAGCTAAGGTGACCAACTGTCCTCCTTTAGGGAGGACAGTCCTCCTTTTGTAAGTTCTGTCCTCCCTCAAAAAGTGTCCTCCTTCATGTCCTCCTTTTCGATATTTGAAGACTAATCTGCAAGGCTTTTTTTTCCCCTCATAAAACGCTCAGAACGGCGTTCCGGCACCTTTTTTTGATGGTTTTTTTTTCAACTTTTGCATGAGCTGTGCTACTCCCACTATTGGCTTTCGAAAGCCAATAGGAATTGCTGCTGAGTATGCCAAAACACCTGGCTGGCAAACTTTGCACATGCAAGTTGTCTGTATTATTGTTTCAATGAATAAAATGTTTTTTTATTTACAATTTTTTTTCTTCAATTTATTTGTGTCCTCCTTTTCATTGTAAAAAAGTTGGTCACCTTACTAAAGCAGACTTCCCAATATGGAACTATCCTTTTGGGTCTAAAACCAGAAACATTTTAGGTGGTCAGCCAGTCAGAGAGATGGAAGTACAGCTGCCCTTCCCCATGCTTGTGCTCGCTTTCCACCAAGAATGCATTTGGTTTTTTTTGTCTTACATCAGTTGTTTCCAAGCTGCTATCTGACATGGAACAGACTAAAATAGCCAGGATTGGACTCTGTGATATTTTTGTTCTCACTCTGCTTAGTGAGAGCTCCAAGGAAATGGCACAGACTCCTCACTTTTGGTTGTCAACAGTTTAGAATGGGTTCCCAACTGAGGGGTGGAAAACTTGGGTTTTCAAAATTAGAGTGTATATGCATAATTCGTTGCCGTTATTTTGAGCTTTTATAAGGGGTGTGAGAATATATCAAAAGCGTTCTAGGAGTGCGGGGTATAGAAAAGGTTGGGAGCCGCTGGTTTAGAAAATGGGACCAGGTGAATTAAAGCATATAAAAGACTGTTAAGGAATATCTGGTGTGGGGAGTCAGCCCCCCCAAGAAGGAAATATTTTGGGGACTATTAAAAAGACAGAATATTATATTTCCCCAATGGATCTTAAAAGGCAGAAAAGCAGGCCCAGTTTTTCTTAATAGACCCAGGCAGAGGCCTGTTCTGTAGAAATGCAGATTTGATAATCCCATTCACAAAGACTGAGGTCCCATTCATGAGCAAATACTGCCAGCAGAAACCCATTCATGATAGGATCTTTCAAAATCCCTTGGAGCAAAACTGATAGCTAACACTAGCAGAGTGATAGGATTAGAACCAGCAACCCCTCATCCATCCAGCACAGGACATAGCCATCAGCTCCAGCCCCAGGAAAGCAGGACATGACCTTTAGGACATAATAGGATTAACCCACCACCATTAGAATACAAAAAGGGCACACTCAGGCTGTGGTCAAAATTCATGACACAGGAACAGGAATAGAAACAACTCCAAACCCAAAACCCAAGAAGGTATAAACACTCATCACTCCTAGCAACATGTACTCAGCTGCTCCAGAGCCACATGTCTTTCTTTCTAAAGCAGTCTCCATTTTGTTTATTCCCAGCTTGGACTGATGAAGATTTTTCTTTCAACACCAGTGAGATAGTTCAGCTTGGTTAAACTTCCACCGGGAATAATTATGCACTTTGTGAATAGGTAGTGCTATTCATCTGGACTGATCTATACTGCATTATTACTGAAAGACAACATAGTCAAAGATGGCTTGGTTACCTATCTGAATACTTTTTTATTGTCTCTATGATGAAAGTAGAAACAGCAACACTTGTATGCAGGTTTCGGAGAAGAGAAACCATCAAGTCCAGGAATAAAGTGTATTTTTGCTTGTAAAGCCTGCATGCTGGCTAGGGATTTCTGGGAGTTGAAGTCCATAAATCTTAAAGCTGCTAAGGCTGGGAAACACTGCCTTAAAATGATGATCCTGAAAAGCAATAGCTAGATTATTTCAAAGAACATGGTTTTTGATATCATTAATCACAAAACAAAGGCTTAAATCCCTATTTGCACAATATTGTTATTAGAGCCAATTCTAGAAAATTAAATGCAAATATTCTATTCAGAGGGAGGAGGATAAGAGTTTTAAATATTTTTTTTACTTAAAAACTGACAGACTTTTAAATGCAGCCTTGATAAAATACAAGAATACAGCTAGAATACCATTGTTGGGAAGATAGACTTGACAAACATGCAGTCTTGATAAAATATAAGCATACAATCAGTCAGTTTCTATTAGCTCCCAAAACTGAGAATTGATTAAAAAAATGAGGTAAAGGTTTTCCTTGTCCAATCATGTCTGACTCTAGGGGACAGTGCTAAGCATTGTCCGAAGACGTTTCTGTAGTCATGTGGCCAGCATGATTATACACCAAGGTACATGGAATTGCTGTTATCTTCCCACTGAATGATACCTATTGATCTACTTGCATTTGCATGCTTTCCAACTGCTAGATTGGCAGGAGCTGGGGGCAAGTAACGGAAGCTCAGCCTATCCCACAGCTCTCTGGTCTTGAAATGTCAGTCTTCAGGTCCACAAGCCCAGCTTCTTGAAACCACAGGTAGTCCTTGACTTAAGACCACAATTGACTCCCAAATTTATGTTGCTTAATGTTTGTTAAGTGAGTTTTGTCCCATTTTACAACCTTTCTTGCCACAGTTGTTAAGTGAATCATTGCAGTTGTTGAATTAGCAGCATGGTTGTTAAGTGAATCTGGCTTCCCCATTAACTTTGCTGGTCAGAAAGTCATAAAAGCTGATCACACGACTCCGGGACACAGCAACCGTCATAAATATGAACCAGTTGCCAAGCATTCAAATGTTAACCACGTCACCATGGGGATGTTGCAACGGTCATAAGGGTGAAAAATAGTCGTTAGTCACTTTTTTCAGTACCTTTGTAACTTTGAATGGTCACTAAACAAACTGTTGTAAGTCGAGGACTACCTGTATTGCTATAATATTTAATCTGTTTTCTAATGCCTAAGCCCAGGGATATTCACAGACGGTATATATCAGAACCTGCAAAAATGGCAGGCATGGCATCCTGTGGAAGTTATGCCCCTTCTGTACATGCGCAGAACCGGGGAGGGACTCTTTTGATTGCAGCATGGCCCTCACCCTTTTGTAGATTTGGACCTTCTCCTCCATCCCAGGGATATCAGTCTGTGAGTTTTATGGTTGAAAAGGAACATTTAGTATTTTATTTTTTAGCTCAGTCTAAGGCAACAGAAGGTGGCAGTATTTAAGTATCTCATCCCTTAGCGTCTACCTTTCTGGCAAAAACAGAAATGCCCTGATTCCAAATCAATTTTTTCTTTTATCAGAGCAAAAATCAAAGTCTTTGTTCCCTAGACAAATTCCAAGTGATCAGAGTGACATTGTAGAAGACTTTCCTTGGTAATGTATGAATTTAATTCAAACCTCACCATTGTTCCTTTTTTGTGCCTTCGAGATAATGACATTTTGCTCCAAAGCACAAAAATCTAAAATACACAGGTTG